TATTATGCACGCTGGCTGAATCTGTATTGGTAGTAGTATTTACACATTGTTTGTTGAGCTGCTTATCGGAATTGCGGATCGATTCTGTGGATTAATAAATTCAGTGCAAATATATCGGAGGGAACGTATGATTTATACGCACGCTCATATTCAGTGTTGATCTGCCTTTTAATGATATTTTTATCGCAAACGATGTATCTTCTCTTTCCTTAAAGACTCATTGCTAAAAGGTCAACGGCCATCGATCTTAGTATCCCGGCGCTAGGCCCAAATTTTACACTGCTACACGTGCACCGTCTACTATCCGGCTTTGTTTTATATATATGACGCCATCTATTTCAATTATCGCCTTTGACATACCTCGAAGGAGCCTTGGCTGTTTCATGGCGTCTTATTCACATTTCAGGGTCTACATATTGAACGATCACAACTTCGTTCTAACCACTTCTATTCCCTTTGGTGCCGCAGATCTAAGTATTCAATGGCCGAATTGGATCGCATCAAAACCAACGAGAAGCTAAGAAAGGAAAAAGAGAAAATGCGCTCCAGTTTACGCGCACGTGGTATTGACCCTGGAGAGGACGATGGTTCCGATTACATCGCGGGCGGTGTCAAGCCGTTCCAATTTGACGGCGCGTTGAGGAAAACTGGTAGGTAGATTTATGGGAAAAAAAAGTCCACTGTGCGTGTATCTGTGGCGTTCTTCCCCCATCTCTCCTGGAATATTGTGGTACAACATTATATACAACATACGGAATGTGCATGTGCAAAAAGGGTACCTAATAGAAGGATGTTCTTATATACGGAATCTGGGTAAACATATATGTATTTTGGGAACAGCATGAGTTTACACTAGTTGCTATAGTCATCTGCTCAGCTCCGGTTTATTTTGCATTTGGCACTTCATTCTACTGTTCACAAGTGGCACTGATGAGCTGCCGCTTCAGAAATGTGTTATTATAAAACTGACAGCTCACAGAGGTGTTGCTCAACCACTGCTCCTTCTTTCCAATCAACATAACAGAGGCGGATAGGACGATGGACTACAAAAGCACACAGCGTAAACTGGAGCAGACACTGTACCTCATAGTACGCGATCCCTCCAAGAGGAAGTACGTTTTTATAACATATATAGAATAACATGCACAAACATACACGTATTATATAT